GCGTAGTATTTTGAAATGCATGATTTAAGTAATAGTGACGCTAGAAACTAGTAAAGGCAAAATACAATTTAAAAGTTACACAAGTGCAGCCACCAATGAACGCCTCCCCAACCCTCTGTGATTTCCACATCGCGCTCAACCCGGTCGCCAAATGGCAGAGATACCTGAACTGATACAAATTGCGAGCTATCAACTGTTATGCAGAGGGTTGAGTTGGTTCCGAGTGGAAAATCGCGTTCAAATCCGTTTTATTCGAAGCTTCTCGACCAGATGTTGGCACAGATTTCTGCGCTGAGGTTTTGTTAAGTGATATGATAAAGCTAGATGTGTGATCATCGATAAAATTCAGAATGACAATATTGATTTTCTTTTTGTTCTCCTCTGAAAGTTCACTTATCCACTGCATTACTCGTGGAGAAGTGTTCTCCGAGAACTTCTGAAGCGACGAACACCAGCTGCCAACCTGAAATGTACCAGTTACTAAATGAAGGACTAAATGCTGCACATGTTTTGGCACCTCTTTGTTGTAGCAAGTGCTTTATCACAGCATCCATCTCGCCCAGTGGGCGTGAAATGCGGGTTCGATTCCCGCCCGAGATCGTGTCTTTTGCACATACAGTCCTCATCATTGTGGACCGGTGAGGCGTGTCAGCCAGTATGAGTGAGTGTGCACACAGTTGAAGCCGTTCTCAGCCGTTTTTGTTGAAATCGCGTCATGCGACAAACCAAGTGGTAGGCAAACGAGTAGCACGAACGATATAATACCAGTAATGGTCACTCTGGTGCCCGCTTCAGACAACTGTTGCCAGAAGATGTTGGCATCGCGCACACCAGCCGCGACAGACACGCCCACACCGGCTTCCGCATATATGAGGACTGTAACTCAGCATTCCTCTGTGATAAGGGAGAAAGAAGGGGATTACGCACTCCATTGGTACTCGACAAAGATCATAGTGGTCCTATTGAATGCAACGTGGCCTATACCTGGCTGACTTGCGGGGCTCGCCGATGTAGAAGCCAGTATTTTCATTCTCGCATGCGAATCTGGTATGAATTTGCCGTCCCCAGGATGAATAGGCGCCTGGGCGGAGCTTGTCCAGTTCATATCCGCCGCCTACGAGTGTTCCTACTCTGCCACCTACGCCACCTCCGCTTCACAACACTTCCAGTGAAGGTACTCTTGGGATACCTTACAGTGAAAGCTGACAATATAAAAAAAGCAAGGGCGGCGCAACAAAATTTCCACGTACCATTTGCCCCCGTCCGCGTGAACTGTTTGAAACTGACTACCGTTACCGTTCACAACTTGGCCCGTAGACACACACTCTCTCTCTATGGCCAATATTTGGACCAGAGACTGCTTGCTTGTCTTCCGGAAAAAGCTGGTAACTTAAGCTTCGATGTAAGATAGGACAAAGGGCGAATTAGGCAGGATGTAATGTGAATGTTTTCAGCCACTTTTGCAATTCTGGGCTTTCAACAGTTAGGTTGCCCTTTTTCCGAGGACTTCAATAACAAATCTTCCAACGCTTATCAGTTCTCTAACCTTGTTCGCGTAGAAAGTTGATGTTGAGAAGCAAAAAGCAGCAGCTCCCGTGGAACCGCTTCACGCAGCGACATTTACGCTCTAGTCTTTCAAATGGGGGGGGGGGCGTGTCTACAGAATAAGTTGTCTACAGCTGCACCTCAGTGGACAGTTGCCAGCTCAGGTGCGTTTCGATCCTACAGAAGGATAGCTAATGTTGCACAGAAAAAAGATCTGTATATCGGACGGCAACCTATAGCCATTGAATACGCGAATTCAAGCTCTTTATATCCCTGGCCGAAACCCGACCGCATGGAGTAGCTAAAAGAGTCATCATCCCTCCCTTCTTGTTCTCAAAATTCGTGTAAATCATCCAAATAGCCTTAACAACTCACCACATCCTTGCCCTGCGGTGTGAGAACACCCTGAGACACGAAAAACTCTTTTGATTTCTCCGAACGTGACTCCAAATCATGCTGCAGATTTTTTATCAAGACATCCATATTTGAAGTGTCCGGCCACGGTGATAGAATTGAAGATGAGGGCCAAAGCAAAGGCGAAATCCTCTGTTCGGACGGAAAAATAACAATCACTCTGGAAACATAAAAAAGTGTTACTGCAGGCAAAATATCAATTGGAAAAACGGGACTAAGGTATAATCCTTATCCCCGAGACGGAGTAGGCGTGGCATTCGAACATGGCGCAGGATTGGCCACTCGTGAGTATTTCGATTTGGTACGACTGCCATTTTAATCTGTGTTGGACAAAGACATGATTACAACTGTCCCAATATGAAAATACCTCACAGAAAGCTTAGTCTCCACGTTCAACCCAAGTACGAGCCACGCCTACCGCATCTCAGGGACTTCGAGTGTAGTTGGGGAGTGGGATGGAGCTCTGTGTTATGCCACATCATATCCACATGTCCCACCCTTTCACCCAATATCAGAGTGATTTTATACCCACAATGGGTTCGGAAATTCGGAAAAAAGCGGCAAGACAAGGCAAAAAGTGGTGGGGCGTAGTCGTGCCCTCGTTTGTCCCCTATCCTTGCCCTCAAAAAACTGGAAATATTGCAAATAATGTAAAATTGAAGCAATTGTGAAGGTAATTATTACGACCAAATACTTGGGTCTCAAGCGCTGTTTCCTAGCCGCGGGATCGGGGCGCACTAACAGGGTATTTCCTACTTAGTTGACTAGATCGTCACAGGGACAGAGAGAGAGAGAGATAGTCGACTTGAGAGACGCAGGCGCAGAGAATGTCAAAGGAACTCACGAACCGTAGCACTGCTACGTTGACTGAATTGGGTCCTGATGCGAATGCTGTTTTTGCAGCCGCCCGCTCGCATAGCTATACTCTGTGGCACTTCACCGCGATTGGAAGGCAGTACTTCCCCATCCATGAAAATTGATATCCGGGCGGAAAAGACAGGAAAAATGGAAGAAGGATATGATCAGAGAATGGTCCTACTGTATCGGAGTTCCATATTTCACATTTAGGTAATGTCGTCGCTGGAGTCTTGGTATACGGGGCAGCAAGCGAATGGCACAGAGACCATTTTCCTCCCCTAATAACTGGATACTACTACTTTCTTTGCGAGAATAGTCAACACGCCCGATCCATTCTATGCCATACAAATGGTTAATATCGATTATCACGACCTGAAAAGATCAGCTCAGTACGTGCCCAAAGAGGATACTGTTTGGGTATTCATTAGGTTGCGTTTATACTTTGCGGTACGATGGCGTACGCTTCCCGCAAAATGATGGAGCTCTATATCACTGGGAGCAGCCGCTTTATCTGAACAGGATGGTGTATGTGTCTATCATCACGCGGCTTCGACAAAGCTGTGGGGAGCGAAGCCATCTGTGTGCGAGCCTCGCAGACTACTATTAAAACAGTCCGGCAATGTACTGTGTGTATTCTGTGCTGTGAGTTATGCACGCAGTAGTATATAGGTCGCTCCTTTTTTAGGTAGTTGTCTTGTTAGTATGGAAGTGTGTGGTGGCCCTAGTGGGCGGTGATCGTAGCCTCTTACTGATATACTGCTGCTTCCCTGTGACTGTCTCAGTACTGTATGTCATAGTAGTGCTAACGACGACGCCCAAGTCCGCCAGAGTGCTGGACGGCTTCGGGAACGCGCAACTACCGTTAGTAAGTTTGAAAGCGCGATCTGGAGGTTCACTGTTCCGCCCATCCATGCGACGTATGGTCGACGGCCTCGAAAACTCATATCTGTAAAGAAAATCTCGCCTCGTAACATTTTGAAAATGCTAAATAGACAAGTGGGTAGGGCTCGTTGGAAAATTAGTGGCGTAGAGCCTAGGGTTGAAGACGATGGGAGGGGGTCGTGACTTGAAGCATATATTTGAAAAGGGAGGCACAATAATAAGAGGGGTACAATAAGCAAACACCGCATTCCAGTGGAATGTTAGCCTGTTAGGGGAGCCCTCGTAGAGTGGTAATAGTCCTATACGCCAGAAGTGTAGCACAACGCGTGGCTTTGTGGTATCGCGTTGGAAGTGAGTGTAGGCCTCGGCGCTCCGCAGTCCACCATGCAGCGCGAAGTAGAAACACTTACTCTCAGCCTCGATTCTCCGCGACGTCGCGTCTCTCGAGCGAGTAAAGACATCACGCTAGCTTTGTCTTTAGAGTGCTGGAGATCCTTCTAATTCCAGCATCTACGTAACAATTTTCTTATGACACATGGAGTAGGCCGGCGAAGGATTGGGATATATCTCATGAGAGCTGCTGTTGCAGTGTCGACATATGTTCTTTAGGATACAAGATAAGGAGTGCTATAAGAGCTGCTGGCACACCGAAGTCTTGGAGCGGCCCTAAGGAAGTCAACATGTGTTGTTTTCCTCTCTCTCTGCAATAGCACTCGTTTTCTTATTCATACAGTATGCCTATAATCTGCGCGCATCTCCACGCCACAATTAGCTGTTCTTGTGTTTCGCCTGTGTGGCTGTGTGTTCAATGTACACCGCTGAGTTTGCATCCGCCCACGTGCGATAACTCATGTAGTTATCCGTCTTTTTTCGTTATTCTTTGCCAAAGAAGTTTCTACTTCGATTGTGCATCACAGTACTGGCGCATAGGACTTTTAAGTCATTACTCCATCCAAATCCCATCGGACCAAACGCAACGAGAAATCCTGAAGAGTCCTGTGTGTACTATAATTATAGATATGTTTAATAGGATGAAAAGGACGATCCCGGACTATATTCACTATCGTGGGCCATATTTTGCTGACTTTTTCTACTTGACGCAGGATTCGTCACCAATTCAACGAGGACCCGAAAAAGTGCCCTGTGTTGATCGTGGGACGTACCCTTGAACTGGATCCGGCCCGGGTACGCCATTATTCCGCATCTCTGATCAAGAAGCGCAATAGCGTGAAAAATTACGAGAATGCATGAATTCTTACGACGTTGCTGGCGTTCGAATCACGTCACAGCCTCTCTTTTTGCCGTTCAGTTGTGATTTCCATTAAGTTATCAATTACATGTACAGTGAAATTCATTGATTGTGCTGGTGACACCTGAAGGCCTGAACCTGAAGGCACGATCCGTGATGATCGGAGAGGCGGAGCCCCACAACCGTTGTGTTCTCCACAAGTGCTCGTCTTCTATAATATAGAGAGCGGGGCGAGCCGATGAAGTTGGCATTAAAGTTGTGAGTTTGCTCCCTTTTCTCCGCCCATCCTGTCATCGCGAAGTGTGCCTTTGGTTCTCCTCTACTCTCGTAAGCTCTGCCGCAGACAAAAACCCTAAACTGAAGCTCAGTTTCTCCCATCGGGTACGGTGGTCGTTTAAGAAGAGTTGTTTTTCAGGGCCTGATTTACTTCTCATTCTGCACACGGACGATTCCGAAGAGGAGAAAGGTTTTGTGGCCGAATATCGAGAAGCACCACGTGGACGTATACGACCGAAAGTTCAAATGCCACGACCTGTTCCCAATAAAGAGCCCATCAGTTGAAGCCCCAGCGTATAACTTTACTAAAAGTGCTGTTCCATTTTAAGTAACTCTAACAGAAACCAATTTTTGAGAATCGACATCCTAATAATGTTCATAGTTTTTCACAGAGCTTTGTTGACTCCAAACGTTCCGAACTTTGCTGCATTCAAAGGATGCTAAGAGAGTCTGGGAAGGGGCGGGAGTAAAAAGAGAGAAGCCCCAGCAGCAAGTTCTTTTTGCTCGTTTCCGTCCTTCCACCCCTTCTAGCTCACTTAGCACCATTTGAAGTATGAATAGCTCCTTCTTAAGTTTTCTTTCCTTCGCATATCATGTTATAGGTGCGATTTTCGGCCATTTGCTTTTTTTCCTTCCTCTCACATTGGGATGGACAACGAGAGCGCTCGCTCCCCTTGGCGATTCCTAATACCGGCAAGAAAACTGTGACCATGTTTCGAGGCACATTAGCTCGGGTGTTCGTAGGCTGCGCCGGCATTCGCATGCAGACTCACAGTGTTCGCTGCGGGTGATAGGGCGTGTCAGGGAATGGGTTTTTTGAAGCGCCGTCTACCCCCTTTATCTCCCTTTTTTCCGTTCCATTCGTCGTCGGCTCGTCCGCTTCAACCAACTGGTGAAAGCGGGCTGGCGCTCGGCCAAACTCGCTGCCTCACTGACACGCCCTCATCGGTCCGGCGCCGACGAGACTAGCAAGAGGGCAGATGGAGCGCTTCCTTACCCACCCCCTCTTCACGATTAACACTTTTCCTCGTACAGAAAATACGTTCAACGCTGCTTTCGGGAGAAATTTCTCGCTTTATTTGGCATGTTCCTATCAGCCCAAACAGCGCTTTTGCTTACATCGGGCCGCTTTTTTTTGCTGAATTCTTGTTTTGATGATGATTCCATCTATTTTGACTGTATACTGTATAACCTAACATATCAAATGTGTTAGCATGAATTTATGAATGAAATTCGTACTCAGTTGTTCATTGCATATGTTTATACATAAATAGTTTGTCAAGCTTGTTAAGCTCTGAGCCTGTGTTTTTTCTATCCGTGACTACTCGACTCCATATTGCTTTCGTTATGACTTGATGAGTTTAACAAGTGGGAAATAAAAAAGTTTTTTTTTTTTTTTTTTTTTTAGCCAATTTTAATGGCAGTACGGGTCATGGGAGTATGACGTCACTCAAAACATGGATGGCCGATTTGCCACCCGAAATAGCCGACCAGCCCCTACGTCTACTCAAAATTCCTGGTGAGTAGGTGCAGTCTTGTTCGCTATGGATATGTGAGTGTCAAGGGAGGGAGGGTCAGCCGCTCGCCTGTTTTTTTATTTTTTTCGACAAGCGGCAAGACTGTATCCTGTCGCACGTACCAGTCATTTCACCACTAGTTGATGTCGCTTACCTTCCTCAACACCGATGGAGAACGGGCGGGCGGCGCGCCAAACACAGCCTCACTGGCACGTCCCTTCATCCCCAGCGAACAAGAGTATAGCAGTTAAAGGCACACTAGGTTACGGCAAGGTGTGGGTAGTGGGGTCTATGTGTGAGTCTGTAGGTGGTGGTGGCAGATCTGTGAATAGAAGGGCACTATTCAACTATTACTACCCCATTTTCCCAAAACAGGGCGGATCTTGATCGACTTTTTTCTACGAAAGCGGATTTGGCTGAAATCGGGTTATAGAGGTAATTCGACTCTTGAATACGAATAGTGCATGGCCCCGCACCACAGGCGCCAGCGTATTGGGGCATTTTGGCGCCGGCGCCCGGTGGCGCGAATCTTGAGCAATTGGCGCACTTTGGCGCCGGCGCCTGTGGCGCGGGCGCCAGGCATTTTCGGGAGGAACGGATGTGATATTCGTGTTCAGCAGGTCGGATTACCCCTAGAACCCAACTTTCAGCCAAATCTGCTCCCGGCAAAAAGTCGATCGAGATCCAGCCCGTTTTCGGAAAACTGGGGTAGTAATAGTTAAATAGTGCCAATAGAAGATTAGAAAAACCGTTGAAAAAGCTCAGATAGGCCCCGATTATTGGATTCAGGACGACTCTTTTTCCTCCACTTCTTTTATTTCACCCCCTTTCCCTATTCTTCACACGAGCAAGCAGTGAATAGAGACGTAGAAATACTCAGCGAACCCTGAACAACTGCGGAAATTTTTCTCCAACGTCGCTAATTCCCCTCAATGACAATATACGACTCTCCCCCCTCCCAACAACGAGCAAATACGACCTCCCTCCCTCGCGGTCAAATGCGACCCCCTTGTGCCTGCACCCGCTTTGGTATTCTGGTCCTGTATGTACCGTAGAAGGAGACTTTAATGACCAAACAACCCAAAAAACGCCTTAGCCTCGCCTGAGTAGCGCTGAGTATGTCCCTCTTGCAGAGCATGTGTATCTCCCTCCCCGAGAACTATCTGTCGCTTAGAATCGTCTGATCTTCAGGTGTCTAGGCAGCTCTAGATTCAATAATGTACGGTAGTTGATCCATGTGTGCTCTTGAATGCCCGAGCACATCTGCTCAAGCATACGAAAAATAGATGTCGAGTCCATGCGCGTTAAACCAAAGTATAGAGGTGGTCATGGTGAACTGAAATGTTAAGTTGGCAGTTGGCAGGCTGTGGTCCTGACAGACGGTCTACTGATCGCCGACGCAGTCCACTTTCGGCTATACACCCCATCCTTCGTGGAGGATGCTTCAAACAGCTGTGCCTCAAACATCTTGTGCCATGCCACTAACCTTACTTGTTCGGGCCCCTTTGAGCAACTTTTCATACATTTACGGGGGGGGACAGCTGTTTTCCTAGTGCCTAATTTTTGAATAGCTATCTATATTGAATTTTTCATTGTCCGGTCTGAATTTATATTCTCTTTCAATTTTTGTTTCAGGCTCTACTTACGAGTTCCTGGGAGCGATTCGTTGTCAGAGTCTCTTCTAATTCTTCCATAGCTCCGTAATGGCACCTGATGTACCTGGTTCTGTTAAGCGGCTAGGAAAAGTTTGTTTCGTCAAACCTGGTGTCAAAAGATGGGGTGTTTGCCAAAGGTTTGTTAATTCAATTATTCCCACAGTTATTTATTTGATTTTTTTTTTTTTTTCGCGCTTTTCGGATTAGGTAAGAGCAAAAAGAGGTGCTCAGCGAAGCGTGTACGATCGTGATCGCTGCAGAATCTGAACGAGCTGAATTGGGCGCGGGCCAGCCCATTCTTCATCAACTGTTGCACGGGCTAGCGGCAGCAATTGGTGGAAATTGAGTGGCGCCATGCTAAACACAACCCATGACACGTCCCAGGGTCTTTAAAGAAAACGGGAAAACATATAGAACATTGGGCGCAATTTCGAAAGGGGTGTGGATATGAACGCGTATTAAGTGAATGGCTTTGCTTTCTGTTTCGCACGTGTCTTTGAATCGTGAACTAAGGCAATATTTACAGCCTTGGTCGCTTGGCGTAACGAATTTAGGCGCTTCGGGGATTGGGTTTGTACGCGGTCCTGTCCGAATTATCCGTCCGTCTTCACCAATTTTTAGTGAAGCTGCCAACCCGACCTACAGTTTGATGAAACTCTTGGCTAGCGTCCGCGCCATAGATTCAGCCCCACTGACACGCTTCAGCAACACAGCAGAATCAAGAGCTGGTGTGTCCGATGATGTTTTGGTATGAAAGTGCGAATGCACAATTCGGCTTTTTTTGAGATAGAATGTATTTAACATCGGCTCGGTGAATAATTGACAAGCTTTACAGGTACTCAATTCGCGAACAGCTTGAACATGGAGTTCGCTATCTTGATCTACGTGTTGCTTATCCTCCACCAAAAGTGCGCACTTCCGTAACGGTGAATATTTCGTATTTACCAATTTCTTCCCTAACTGTCTCCAGGAAAATTGTGAGGCTGCTTTCATATCTGGGCACCTCCGGGGACTTTACGGTTCCAACGACTCGGCGCTTCCACCGGCTGCGCTGAAAAGAAAAATAGGTATCAAGTGACTTCGCCTAACTGAAGGTTGGGAGATCCGACGTTTCGGGGGGGGGGGGATGGAATCGACGTTTTTAGACTGCTGTAGGTTTTTGGACACTAGCCTGTGAAAAGTATTAGGTTGGCGAGAAAGTTCTGTCACTCTTTTCCGAACTCAAATTACTTGCCCATTACCAAGAGTGGTAACCGGTAGTAAGCTCTGTATACATACAACAAGGAGTGGTCTCTCTGTTAGTACCACTCGCTTGCCTCTTGCTCCTTCTTCTGCAATATGCACAAGGATTTTATCCGCTACCATCAGCCCCGACCCATCCAACAACTTCCACAAACTATTTCACCTACCACCCTGACGCCAGCGTGTTAGCTGCAGATGCCAAATTGATGGAGCTGAATAAGCACTGCCGTGGGTGCCCACCCGTCATCTGAGCATCCTTCCACGATAGTGAATCGCTTCAAGGCGGGGGAGCCTAGGGAAGAACAGTTGTGATGACGAAGTGACTTTAGGTTTTACCTGCAAACTCAGCTTGAGGGAGCTGTGGGTCGGGAAACTGCTGGATGAAGAAGCTGCTTCCTTGGTCAAGGCGTACGCAAAGCAGCTACGAGATCTAAGGCGTATCGTGGATCAGAGGGAAAAATTTGTCCGCACAGCCGGCCCTCACCAAGATAGTGCAACGTACTTGGTCCAAAAAAGTTCGAGCCGTACCTCATGCAATGGAGCTTGATCTCTCTCCCCTTGCAATTGTGTAGCACAGACATCGCCCCTTCTAATAGCAAAGTTGCCTTCCGTGATCGATCGTTATGCAGACGAAAAAACCTCCATAACCCAAGTAAGTCGCGAACGTTGAGTAATGCGTTGTCCCAACTTTTAGCGTCGTGTCTCCCTGGATAGTGAAGCGATGGCACCCATGAGGTGCTCAAGAACTGGCAAGGACCCCACAGTGACATTGCTGTACAAGTTTGATCCCAACACTCCTCCTCTCTATAAAAGAAAGCCCTAGTTTGAAAAAATGTGACAGAACTTTCCCGCCAACTTAACACGTATCGATTTGCAGACTCGCTTCTCATAGCAGCGATTTCGCTTAGGCTGCGTTTATACTTTGCGGCAGCGTAGCGTAGCGCTTCCAGCGTACGCCAGCGGCAGTGCTGGGGAGAGGATGCATATCGATCTAGCGTTCCCAGCGTCACCAGCGTCACGCTAGCGTTACGCCAGCGTTTCTCCAGCGTTTCACCAGCGTTTTGCTAAAAGCGTTGCAGGCGGCAAGGGAAGTAGACGAATATGGAGAGCTGGTGAGGTAAAAACACGTGCAATCTGCGCGTTGTCTCACTCACCCTCAGTCCTCTACAATACAACGTCGATTCGCGTCTGCTGACGGCCACTAGTACTCACCAATATCACATCGGAGTTCTGCGTCTCTGACGCCACATAGTCTCTGACAATACACAGTCGATTCCGCGTCTCTACAATACACGTCGATTCCGCGTCTCTTACGGCCACATAGTCTCTACTCCCTGCCGCTGCAAACGCTAGCAAAACGCTGGTGAAACGCTGGAGAAACGCTGGCGTAACGCTAGCGTACGCTAGCGTGACGCTGGTGACGCTGGGAACGCTAGATCGATATGCATCCTCTCCCCAGCACTGCCGCTGGCGTACGCTGGAAGCGCTACGCTACGCTGCCGCAAAGTATAAACGCAGCCTAAGCAAACCCGCACAATTCTGACCCGCCCTCTCATCTCCCACACCAGAAGATTGAAGTATCTGGGATAAGGTTATCCATAATATCGATTAGCACGACCTGAAAAGATCAGCTCAGTACGTGCCCAAAGAGGATACTGTTTGGGTATTCATTAGGCTGCGTTTATACTTTGCGGTACGATGGCGTACGCTTCCGCAAAGTATAAACGCAGCCTTACACAGGTTTGGACACCCGAACAGACTGGGAGGCGTTGCACTAGATCAGCGATTTCGGGAATATTGGCGTATTGACCACCTGTTGGTGGGGCTACGTATCGGTATTCGATGTTACACTCCTTAGCTAGGAGCCAATCAGTCCGGCAAATCCTCATCGTTGAACGCTTGGAGGTACATTCCGCGCTAATCGTATGGTCGGGCTCGCATAGAACATTGCTTACTCCTCAATGCTGAGCTCCACTTCTGCTGGTGAGCCATTTTTGAAAGAGGAGCACAATAATAAGAGGGGTACAAGTAAGCAAACACGCATTCAGCTGTTAACAACCAGAAGCAGGAAAGCCTAGACAGGTAGCGCGTTTGGCTATGGTTGAGGTGTAGCTGGCGGTGCGGCACCCGAGTATGACTACTCTCAGCCTCATTCCAGTGCTCTCTGAGCGAAGAAGCCGCGCTTTTGATGCTGCGGATCCTTTCCCCCCACAGACAAGACAGGCAGACAAGGATTGGGATCCATGAAGGTGAGTGTGCAGTTTCTTGAACAAATAGCGAAGCTGTGCCACCTCTGCGCCTTCAATTTGGTTCTCTTTCATGCCTGTTTCTTCACATTCCTATATGGGCACTCCATTGTTTTGCTGTCGCTGTCAGCCGCTAGGCCCTCTACTTAACTTACCTCTTTTTCGTTTTCTTTCAAGAAGTCTACGACTTGTGATAGGCACTGCTCTAAAGTCATACCATACAATCCATGGACAAGACGAAAATCCTGAAAGTCACGGTTCACCCATTAAGTTTTATAGGAAAAGAGGCCCATTTCATTAGGGGCATTTTGCTGATTCACTTTTTCTTCCAGGTTCGTCACCTTCACGAGACCCGAAAGCCCTTGTAAGCCTACAAAATAGCCGTGTAGATCTGTATAAACTTACAAGAGCAGCTCTTTTTCTACCTCTCCCTGAATGTCCGAAGCAGCAACGAAGGATGAAAAACGAGTCGGTGCTGTGCCAAAACCCGCGGTTCACATGCCTTGATTAATTTCTGTGATAACCTTATCCCAGATACTTCAATCTTCTGGTGTGGGAGATGAGAGGGCGGGTCAGAATTGCGGGTTTGCTTAGGCTGCGTTTATACTTTGCGGCAGCGTAGCGTAGCGCTTCCAGCGTACGCCAGCGGCAGTGCTGGGGAGAGGATGCATATCGATCTAGCGTTCCCAGCGTCACCAGCGTCACGCTAGCGTACGCTAGCGTTACGCCAGCGTTTCTCCAGCGTTTCACCAGCGTTTTGCTAGCGTTTGCAGCGGCAGGAGTAGAGACTATGTGGCCGTAAGAGACGCGGAATCGACGTGTATTGTAGAGACGCGGAATCGACTGTGTATTGTCAGAGACTATGTGGCGTCAGAGACGCAGAACTCCGATGTGATATTGGTGAGTACTAGTGGCCGTCAGCAGACGCGAATCGACGTTGTATTGTAGAGGACTGAGGGTGAGTGAGACAACGCGCAGATTGCACGTGTTTTTACCTCACCAGCTCTCCATATTCGTCTACTTCCCTTGCCGCCTGCAACGCTTTTAGCAAAACGCTGGTGAAACGCTGGAGAAACGCTGGCGTAACGCTAGCGTGACGCTGGTGACGCTGGGAACGCTAGATCGATATGCATCCTCTCCCCAGCACTGCCGCTGGCGTACGCTGGAAGCGCTACGCTACGCTGCCGCAAAGTATAAACGCAGCCTAAGCGACAAATCGCGCTATGAGAAGCGAGTCTGCAAATCGATACGTGTTAAGTTGGCGGGAAAGTTCTGTCACATTTTTTCAAACTAGGGCTTTCTTTCTTATAGAGAGGAGGAGTGTTGGGATCAAACTTGTACAGCAATGTCACTGTGGGGTCCTTGCCAGTTCTTGAGCACCTCATGGGTGCCATCGCTTCACTATCCAGGGAGACACGACGCTAAAAGTTGGGACAACGCATTACTCAACGTTCGCGACTTACTTGGGTTATGGAGGTTTTTTCGTCTGCATAACGATCGATCACGGAAGGCAACTTTGCTATTAGAAGGGGCGATGTCTGTGCTACACAATTGCAAGGGGAGAGAGATCAAGCTCCATTGCATGAGGTACGGCTCGAACTTTTTTGGACCAAGTACGTTGCACTATCTTGGTGAGGGCCGGCTGTGCGGACAAATTTTTCCCTCTGATCCACGATACGCCTTAGATCTCGTAGCTGCTTTGCGTACGCCTTGACCAAGGAAGCAGCTTCTTCATCCAGCAGTTTCCCGACCCACAGCTCCCTCAAGCTGAGTTTGCAGGTAAAACCTAAAGTCACTTCGTCATCACAACTGTTCTTCCCTAGGCTCCCCCGCCTTGAAGCGATTCACTATCGTGGAAGGATGCTCAGATGACGGGTGGGCACCCACGGCAGTGCTTATTCAGCTCCATCAATTTGGCATCTGCCAGCTAACACGCTGGCGTCAGGGGTGGTAGGTGAAATAGTTTGTGGAAGTTGTTGGATGGGTCGGGGCTGATGGTAGCGGATAAAATCCTTGTGCATATTGCAGAAGAAGGAGCAAGAGGCAAGCGAGTGGTACTAACAGAGAGACCACTCCTTGTTGTATGTATACAGAGCTTACTTACCGGTTACCACTCTTGGTAATGGGCAAGTAATTTGAGTTCGGAAAAGAGTGACAGAACTTTCTCCGCCAACCTAATACTTTTCACAGGCTAGTGTCCAAAAACCTACAGCAGTCTAAAACGTCGATTCCATCCCCCCCCCCCCGAAACGTCGGATCTCCCAACCTTCAGTTAGGCGAAGTCACTTGATACCTATTTTTCTTTTCAGCGCAGCCGGTGGAAGCGCCGAGTCGTTGGAACCGTAAAGTCCCCGGAGGTGCCCAGATATGAAAGCAGCCTCACAATTTTCCTGGGACAGTTAGGGAAGAAATTGGTAAATACGAAATATTCACCGTTACGGAAGTGCGCACTTTTGGTGGAGGATAAGCAACACGTAGATCAAGATAGCGAACTCCATGTTCAAGCTGTTCGCGAATTGAGTACCTGTAAAGCTTGTCAATTATTCACCGAGCCGATGTTAAATACATTCTATCTCAAAAAAAGCCGAATTGTGCATTCGCACTTTCATACCAAAACATCATCGGACACACCAGCTCTTGATTCTGCTGTGTTGCTGAAGCGTGTCAGTGGGGCTGAATCTATGGCGCGGACGCTAGCCAAGAGTTTCATCAAACTGTAGGTCGGGTTGGCAGCTTCACTAAAAATTGGTGAAGACGGACGGATAATTCGGACAGGACCGCGTACAAACCCAATCCCCGAAGCGCCTAAATTCGTTACGCCAAGCGACCAAGGCTGTAAATATTGCCTTAGTTCACGATTCAAAGACACGTGCGAAACAGAAAGCAAAGCCATTCACTTAATACGCGTTCATATCCACACCCCTTTCGAAATTGCGCCCAATGTTCTATATGTTTTCCCGTTTTTCTTTAAAGACCTGGGACGTGTCATGGGTTGTGTTTAGCATGGCGCCACTCAATTTCCACCAATTGCTGCCGCTAGCCCGTGCAACAGTTGATGAAGAATGGGCTGGCCCGCGCCCAATTCAGCTCGTTCAGATTCTGCAGCGATCACGATCGTACACGCTTCGCTGAGCACCTCTTTTTGCTCTTACTAATCCGAAAAGCGCAAAAAATCAAATAAATAACTGTGGGAATAATTGAATTAACAAACCTTTGGCAAACACCCCATCTTTTGACACCAGGTTTGACGAAACAAACTTTTCCTAGCCGCTTAACAGAACCAGGTACATCAGGTGCCATTACGGAGCTATGGAAGAATTAGAAGAGACTCTGACAACGAATCGCTCCCAGGAACTCGTAAGTAGAGCCTGAAACAAAAATTGAAAGAGAATATAAATTCAGACCGGACAATGAAAAATTCAATATAGATAGCTATTCAAAAATTAGGCACTAGGAAAACAGCTGTCCCCCCCCCGTAAATGTATGAAAAGTTGCTCAAAGGGGCCCGAACAAGTAAGGTTAGTGGCATGGCACAAGATGTTTGAGGCACAGCTGTTTGAAGCATCCTCCACGAAGGATGGGGTGTATAGCGAAGTGGACTGCGTCGAAGGCGATCAGTAGCCGTCTGTCAGACACAGCTGCACTGCACTTCAGTTCACCATGACCACCTCTATACTTTGGTTTAACGCGCATGGACTCGACATCTATTTTTCGTATGCTTGAGCAGATGCGCTCGGGCATTCAAGCGCACACATGGATCAACTACCGTACATTCCTGAATCTAGAGCAGCCTAGACACCAGAAGATCAGACGATTCTAAGCGACAGATAGTTCTCGGGGAGGGAGATACACATGCTCTGCAAGAGGGACATACTCAGCGCTACTCAGGCGAGGCTAAGGTTATAAAGTCTCCTTCTACGGTAATACAGGACCAGAATACCAAAGCGGGTGCAGGCAAGGGGGGTCGCATTTGACCGCGAGGGAGGGAGGTCGTATTTGCTCGTTGTTGGGAGGGGGGAGAGTCGTATTTGTCACTGAGGGGAATTAGCGACGTTGGAGAAAAATTTCCGCAGTTGTTCAGGGTTCGCTGAGTATTTCTACGTCTCTATTCACTGCTTGCTCGTGTGAGAATAGGGAAAGGGGGTGAAATAAAAGAAGTGGAAGAAAAAGAGTCGTCCTGAAAATGCTGTCCAATAATCGGGGCTTATCTGAGCTTTTTCAACGGTTTTTCTAATCTTCTATTGGCACTATTCAACTATTACTACCCCAGTTTTCCGAAAACGGGCTGGATCTTGATCGACTTTTTTCTGCGGGGGCAGATTTGGCTGAAAGTTGGGTTCTAGGGGTAATTCGACCTGCTGAACACGAATATCACATCCGCTCCTCCCGAAAATGCCTGGCGCAAAGTACCCTGATCACCAAATCCGCTGAAAACTTGTACCCAGGGGTAGTTCGACCTCCTGAACACGAATATCACATCCGCTCGGCCTGAAACTGCTCGAAGATCGCGCCACGGGCGCCGGCGCCAAAATGCCCCAATACGCTGGCGCCTGTGGCGCGGGCGCCATGCACTTTCAGGCCAGATGGATGTGCATTCGTGTTCAGAGGTTCGAATTACTCTTATAACCCTGAACTTCACAAATCCGCTTTCGTTAGAAAAAAGGTCGCATCAAGATCCCCTCTTTTGGCAAAATGGGGTAGTAATAGTTGAATAGTGCCCTTCTATTCACAGATCTGCCACCACCACCTACAGACTCACACATAGACCCCACTACCCACACCCTGCCGTAACCTAGTGTGCCTTTAACTGCTATACTCTTGTTCTGCTGGGGATGAAGGGACGTGCCAGTGAGGCTGTGTTTGGCGCGCCGCCCGCCCGTTCTCCATCGGTCGTGTTGGAGGGAAGGTAAGCGACATCAACTAGTGGTGAAATGACTGGTACGTGCGACAGTATACAGTCTTGCCACTTGTCGAAAAAAAATAAAAAAAAAACAAACAGGCGAGCGGCTGACCCTCCCTCCCTTGACACTCACATATCCATAGCGAACAAGACTGCACCTACTCACCAGGAATTTTGAGTAGACGTAGGGGCTGGTCGGCTATTTCGGGTGGCAAATCGGCCATCCATGTTTTGAGTGACGTCATACTCCCATGACCCGTACTGCCATTAAAATTGGCTAAAAAACTATTCACTTGATAAACTCATCAAGTCATAACGAAAGCAGTATGGAGTCGAGTAGTCACGGATAGAAAAAACACAGGCCTCAGAGCTTAACAAGCTTGACAAACTATTTATGTATAAACATATGCAATGAACAACTGAGTACGAATTTCATTCATAAATTCATGCTAACACATTTGATATGTTAGGTTATACAGTATACAGTCAAAATAGATGGAATCATCATCAAACGAGAAGTTCGGCAAAAAAAAGACGCGCCCGATGTAATGCAAAAGCCACTTGTTTGGGTGATAGGAACAATGCAAATGAAAGCAAATTCTCCCGAAAGCAGCGTTTGAACGTATTTCTGTACGAGGAAAAGTGTAACGTGAATAGAACCTGGCGCTAGGCAGAGGGGGTGGGTGAGGAAGCGCGTCCCATCTGCGCTCTGCTAGTCTTGTTCGGCCGACGATGGGGCATGTCAGTGAGGCAGGATTTGGCGAGCCGCCAGCCCGTTCTTCACCAGTTGTTGAAGCGGACGAGCGACACGAATGGAAGGAAAAAAAGGGAAGAGAAAGGGGTAGCGCTTCGAAAAACCCATTCCCTGACACGCCCTATCACCCGCAGCGAACACTGTGAGTCTGCATGCGAATGCCGGCGCAGCCTACGAACACCCGAGCTAATGTGCCTCGAAACATGGTCACAGTTTTCTTGCCGGTATTAGGAATCGCCAAGGGGAGCGAGCGCTCTCGTTGTCCATCCCAATGTGAGAGGAAGGAAAAAAAGCAAATGGCCGAAAATCGCACCTATAACATGATATGCGAAGGAAAGAAAACTTAAGAAGGAGCTATTCATACTTCAAATGGTGCTAAGTGAGCTAGAAGGGGTGGAAGGGGAAACGAGCAAAAAGAACTTGCTGCTGGGGCTTCTCTCTTTTTACTCCCGCCCTTTCCCAGACTCTCTTAGCACCCTTTGAATGCAGCAAAGTCTGGAACGTTTAGAGTCAACAAAGCTCTATGAAAAACTATGAAATTATGGTATCGATTTCTCAACAATTTTTACTGTTAGAGTTACTTAAAATGGAACAGCACTTTTTGTAAAGTTATACGCTGGGCTTTAACTGATGGGCTCTTTATTGGGAACAGGTCGTGGCATTTGAACTTCCTGGGATTCGTATAACGTCCACGTTAGGTGCTTCTCTCGATATTCGGCCACAAAACCTTTCTCCTCTTCGGAATCGTCCGTGTGCAGAATGAGAAGTAAATCAGGCCCTGAAAAACAACTCTTCTTAAACGACCACCGTACCCGATGGGAGAAACTGAGCTTCAGTTTAGGGTTTTTGTCTGCGGCAGAGCTTACGAGAGTAGAGGAGAACCAAAGGCACACTTCGCGATGACAGGGCATGGGCGCGAAGAACACGGGAGCCAAAACTCATCAGCTATTGATGCCAACTTCATCGGCTCGCCCCACTCTCATATTTATGTAAGAAGACCGCGCACCTTTGTGCGAGAACACAACGGTTGTGGGGTCTCCGGCCTCTCGATTCATCACGAGATGCGCCTTCAGGCTACGTCACCAGCCCAATCAATGAATGGCACTGCGACATGTAAATGACATAATTTACTGGAAATCACAACTGAACGGCAAAAAGAGAGGCTGTGACGTGATTCGAACGCGAGCAACGTCGTAAGAATTCATGCATTCTCGTAATTTTGCACGCTATTGCGCTTCTTGATCAGAGATGCGGAAATAATGGCGTGCCCGGGCCGGATACAGTTCAGGCGGTACGCTTCCCGCGTCAGAAATGGTGAGTAGCGAAGCCTCAAGTACTAATCACAAGCTGGTGAATAATTCAGTACTGGAGGAAAAGCTTCCGAAATGACCCCTGCGGATCCAAACGTGTACATACAAACAACAAAAAGAAGCTTTGCTTGGACGAGTTCTCACTAGTTAGTGTCTCGAGGACCTCTCCTTTCCAATTGCTACTTATAATCTCATCTTCCAAAAAAACAACAAACATGCTGGAAAAGAGCTATACGCCATCAGAAAAGAAATTAGAACTGAAGTTCGACGTAGTTTTAGAGTGGCGGCGACGGCTTTTCCTCCTCATTGGGTAGCGGCCTTTATTCCAGGGCCACGCCATTGCGTTGTGATCATTTCCTGAAAAATACGACCCCCTAATTCCATCTTCAAGTACGACCCCCCTCCCCATGTTACCTCTTCCCTAGATTTTTCCAACCTCCTACCACTTTGTCTATTTTTCCCAAAAAATTTCTGGTTTTTTTTTCACAAAATTTGTGGCGTGTTCAGAGCGGGGGGGGGGGGGGAGGGGAGGGGGGAGGTCGCAGTACCTACGTACGTCCCAAGCACGTCCAGCACTCTGGCGCTGGTGTAGCATACTGACAATACGTACGAGGAAGGGGCGATGATAGGAGCTACGATCACCGCCCACAAGGGCACCATTTATAAACAAACAAAAGGACTCACGACGTGACGATTAATAAACAGATGAAAGTACATTCCTGGACTTTTCGTGCGTGTAGGAGAAATCTTTGCACTTGGGAAGCCCTATCAGAAGTTACACCTTTCCAAAACCTGCGTGAAAGCCCCATGCATGGCGCATTGCACAGGTGATGCCAATTGGCGCCCAATATATTTCCTAATACCCTTTGCGGAAACATGTGTTTCAGAAGCATACCAAAGTCTTCAAGCCAACTGGAGGTTTCCTGGCCTCGGAGGGGTTGATTTTTCGTGTCGTGGGGGGTGATCACGAAATGATCACAACGGGGAATTTTTCGAATAGCAGGCCTAGGGAGAAAATTAAAGCCTTGCTGGAAAGTAGAAATCTTCCCGCTTCCGGCACAATTCTTTTTCTCACGAAAATGGCCGGTGTCATTGAAGTTTGCATGGGACGTCCAAGCGTAGCGACTCGCGGTTCGCAAAAATGATCACAGACGGATCACAACGATGATCACAACGGGGAAAATCTCTGGAATCGGAACGTTTTTGAAATCGCTCAATTCAGGTGACAAGAGCCAACCTAGCTCTACTCATTCCCACTTACCCCTCTCCGATAGCTTCACTTTCAACGAAGTTATGGGTGTTCAAATGAGGGGTACTTTTCACGGGTTTGGCTTGAGATGGGGCTCCAGGCCGTAAAATGGCGCGCACCAATGAGCTAATTGATAATTGAGCGCGGACTGGGACCGCGAACAGCCAAAATTCAAAAGTAATCCATAGTTCCGGTTCCCAGCTGGCCTGTGAGTTTTTTCTCTTATCCATTTGATTGTGAATTATTTTGATTGTTTGTTTTTGCTTGAGTTTGATTTTGTTTTGTTGAGTTTGATTTTGTTGTGAGGAAATTGCTCAGGAAGTTCATCTACGGTTCATTAGGTAGCTTTTGCAATGGATTCTTTTCTAGATTTTGCGGATTAGTGGATTGGGATTTATCTAGACCAGATGAGGAGGGTTGGTGGGCGAAGTGTCTTGAAGTTTTTTGTGAGGAAGGAGGAAAAAGTTTCAGCAATATTTTTTTTTCTTGGCCTAGGAATAGTTCGATAGTGCCTAGTTCTATTTATTGTCATCTACATCGTCCCTTTTGAGCTTCTTTTCACTTGTACCGTGTATCACCGCTCTCTCCACTTCAACATGGGCCATTTACGACCCCCCCCCTCCATCGCGGGCAAATACGACCCCCCCCCGTTGTGATGATCACAAAGATGGCGTGCCCTGCCTTTATCACATATTACTAAGCCGCAAGCGCAAAGGGTACACTCTGTGCTTGGGGAGCCGGACCACCTTGTCTAGGGACGGCGTCTGCACATCTAGTGAACACGAGTTGTGTTTCCAAGAATCGAGACCGAACATGATCTCGCTTCAACAACAGAATTCCATTCTTCTGCCACTTAAATGGTGCCAGAATCATATGAGGAGAGAAAATACTGATTATTACAACCGGTAGCCCGGAAGTCATTGCACACAAGTTACCCATTCGAGTGCCACTCCGAATATAAGTCGAATGCGCAGCGCATCCCGTATGGGGAGTAGTCTCGCGCAAGCTTAATCAGCTTACCGATACACTCTCACAGAAAAAAATAGTATTGTCCAGTACAGTTATTTGTCACCACTTTACCACGCTCACCTGTACTTGTTATAGTCTCCGGTATCTGATCTCCACAGAATCTTCCGAATAATCGGTGATGAATCGGTTCAAGACCATCATATATCTAAATAAAAATATTATTCTTAGAGAAAAAAGTTTTCTCCAAGTAAGTAAGAGTTCAAAAATACTAAGGAAAGGTTCAGTGGGAGAAAGGACATGTGATGAGAAAGCCTGAAAACTTCTTCTGGCTTGGTAGTTGCCACGCGTGAGCTGCCAACTCAGAATTAACCGGTCCCAACCGTATCTCACCGGTTAGTACTGAAACGGCTCGCACCGTGGCTGGCCACTGACAACTAGTTGCAAGGTCATAGGAGGGGCTATTACAACTTTAATCAGACGCTGAGGTGGTGTAGTGACAAGTGATACTGCTCACCACATATGTGGTCCGGTGATTCCGGAGTTACCGGGTTCCGTACTGCTCATGGGGTAACCAGGTATGTGGTCAACATGATCAACGCTCCTTATCTAATAGCATCATATCAATCACTTCAAACAATAATACCATTTATGAGCAGTGGTGAGAACTTTTTGCGATCTCCAGACAGGTCTCAAGACATTACACCCACGCTCAACCCTCTCCAGATGTTCCTCGCCTCCGTCGATTTTTTTGCGATCTCTAAACAGTCTCGAGGACCGAACTGAGAAGTTATGTGGCAAACACCGCCCACTTCGGGTATGTCTCCCCATTCAGTTTTTCAGCTACTTTCTGACATTCCATGTTCGACTGTCCATGAACCTTGGCATGGTGTGTGTCCTTGTCTTCAGTGATTCTG